AACCTCTTCTTTCTTCTTGTCTGCCTCACTTCTCTAGTCCTCACCGTCTAAGATGAAATCCTTTGCATAGTTGCCAAAATTGTGTCGAAAATGATGTATGATAAATCAGATAAGGAACGAAGCAGAAGAAGCGACCGGCGCGTGGGCGGCCAGCACAGACAACGAGGGAGGAAGACACCGGTTGCCTTCCCGCTCTGTGAGACGCCTGCATCRCTTGAGCATTGCTAGGGCAGGCTCAGTCAGTAAAACCACTGCCTATTGCTTCCTGGGGAGCCCCCTGGCACAGACCACCCAGCACTGAGGCTTACCAGAAGGTAGCAGCTTTGATTTGGTCGTTGCTGGGTGGATTTTGCCATGCAAGTGAAAAAAGTTCACGTTGGAAACGGTGCTGAGTCCTTGGATATATCCCTTTAAGAGCCTGCTGAGCAGTTTAGCACTAAATGCCATAAGAAACGTAGACACCTATGGTATTTGGCAGGGTAATGTCCAATTTCTGGCCCTGTGCCCATTGAACGGAATCCAAAATGCAATAAGCTTTTTGTGTAGTACGTGGAAAGAGATAGGGCCTCTGAGGGAAGAGCGGAGGAAAAACATTCCGCTTGCTGAAGGAGGAAATGCCTAGAGGTAGTCAGAGAGACACTAAGTACTTTATTTCCAACTTGGAAAGGATTTGATTCTTGCATTAAATTCATGCAAACTAAAGAAAATAGAGCTCTCTGGTTTCAGAATTTGAGAATATTTGCTGTGAAACTGGAAGGATCCCCAGGCCTGTCAGATGCAGGGAGGCTGGCTTTTCAGAGCAGGTCATGTACTTAGCAGGGAAAGAGTTCAGCATCTTCCTACAGCAGAGCCACTGTCCCACTTCTCCATCCTCAATCTTGATTGCTTGAGGAAGAGACTGGTGAAAACATTTGGAAGGAGGCAGCAGGAATTGATGGGCTTCCAGAATGGTGCCCTGTACTGAAAAATTAGCATCTCCTATTCCTTATGGTCCTGCTCTTGGTAGGTACTTTTTATTTTCTTGTTTCTRGGTAGGAACTGAGAATGATTGTACTGCTAAAGGCATGTAATAAAATTTACAAGAAATAGTCCTGTGATGTGTCTTGGTCAGGGTTTTTGCAAAATCTCGAGCCTTAGAGATCTCATGCTGTATTTGTCTCTCCATCTTTATTATTTTTTCTTAATTAAAGCAGGAAAGAGCATGAAAACTGAAATGTGGAACAAGCTGTGTCTTTGTTTGCTTTTTAACCATTATTTTTGGAGTTCTCTCTCCTGGACATATCTTTGTTCACACTAGTTGAGGAAAATGATTTGTCTCCTATGTAAGCCAAAAATTTTCTTCTGAATGAAATTTTTTCTTGTGGTTCCTGTATGAATAACATCTCTTTCTGTCACTTCAGAGGCATTAGCTGCTCTGGCTACATCTAGGACATGGACATGGTAATGTGCAGATATGGTGGTGTACATGAAAATATTCCATAAGAGTTGTGCATTTCCTGCATTTAGTACTTAAAAACCTTGTCACTGTATGCAAATAATCTCTTTTGAATTATTTGTAATATTTTAAAATACCCTTTGGAAAATCTGTTTCTCATCATAGTCAGTGCATATGAACATGAAGGTTCTCTCTGTGATGTTTCGCTACAGTATTCATCTTTTCTGACTGCRCAGGAATTTCAGTTTGGAGCTGCTGGGGTATAGGCGGACACATGAGTTTTGTTCTGGAAGGAATATGCGCTCAGTTTACATCTGAACAAATCTTGCCCAAATTCAGAAKCAAGACATGGGAAGAATGAGGTTGTTCTACAGTTGAGGGATGTGAATGTAATACAAATTCTATCATCCTTGCAATTTCATGGTATTCTCTATGCCTAGTTGACTGTCAGGGATGGTGAGATGCAGAGATTAAAATACATGTTCTGTGTGAGAGCCATATGGCTTTTACATGGTTTTCCAGAACCATTTTTAGCGAAAGGCTGGCACAGCCATCATGTGAAGCTTTCTGTGAAAGCAAGCTAATGGTTAGTAGTCAAATCCTGGCTGTTCCCCAAATCCTGGTCACCAGAATGCCCAGTGTTTTTCCCCTAGGTGTTTCTCARTCACAGGTAAGGGTCCTGATCAGTCAGTCCCAGGTTGCAGAAGGAGGTGCAAATGCTCCGTATTTCTCTCTGTCATCTCTGGAGAAGATTTTAATAGCTCTTCCTTCCAAGAAGCGAAACATGAAGAAGTGTTCCTGCGCTGAGCCCAGCAAGTCAGGCTGTGCCTTTAGGTGCAGCAGTCTTGTAGAATTGCTTATTTGCTGTTCAGAAGGCAACTCTCTATTTTTTTTTTTTTTTTATGTTGTCATGTGAAAATAATTAGTATCAGTGTAAAATGTTAACTCCTTTATATTGCAGCTCCTTCTCAGGAAGTTTTACTATGTGTGAATGGTTATAGCATGGTGTTAAGCTACAGTTTACATGCAGGAGAACAGACGTTGTACCACCCACAGTTTTAATGCCACATAATGAATGACATATTCCTCATGGGACTGAAAAGGGGCCAGTTGTTTAAAAGCAGTAAATTCTAATTGCGTTAAAACCATTGAATTTGTTAATTGTGAACATTGGTAACTATTCAGCAGTAGAACAATAGCAAAACTGTTTGCAAATAATGCAAACAGTGGAAGTCTTCATTAGTATTCTCCCGTATTCACTGTATTCCTTAGGAATATAAGAGTAGCATTTTTCCCACTTAGGTTCAGAGCTAAAAATGCAGGTATTCAAGCCCTTTTTTAAAGACCAAAGCAAGGAGTAGGTACCTTTATTTACAAATGAAATATCTTACTGGCTCGACTCCTAAGTTAAAGACAAGGGCCACTCGCCCTGGTGTTAAGGAAAGGAGTATATTCATTAAAGTGAAGATCAGAGACCCTACACACCACAAAGACCTCAGCTTATTAAGAAAACAAGATAATAAATAAAAGTATTCAGTGTTGTTTTTGTGCCCAGAATTTCCATTTGTTGAATAAGTTTACACTTTTTTTTTTTTTTTTTTTTTTTTGACTGAGTTTCGGATGTTTGTATGATTCCTTTCAATCCATATCCTGCAGACGTCACTTAAAATCTGTTTTTCCTCTTTAATTTCATACTATTGTTACTTTTACTGATTTACAGTAGATCTAGGAAAACACAGTAGATCTTTCCAAAGCACAGAGGTAGACTGGTATCAATGGAAAAGTACTTCAAAAGAAAATGCTCTGTTAATCAGATTATACCTCTTACCATGCACTTTGGAAAGGCGATTGTCCCAAAGGCTGTTAAGCAGAGCTGCAGGGAAYGTAGGTGTCCCATGAAACAGTGGCCACTTAACCAGATTTTTTTCATTCTTCATTGTGCTGCTGTAGAAATGCCTTTATAATGATTGACTTTTTTATTATTATTTTTCTTGTAATCCATGCTTCTAATGCAGGAACCTGAGTCACATGTGGTATGAAAATACAATTTACCAAACCTCAAATATCTGATGTGAAGCAGAAAGTTTTAACAAACCTTAGATTTCCTGCTGTGCAATTTTGAGCCTAAGGGACTACTTTATTCTGAAACTTTTCCATGGTTCCCAAAAGTTCTCAGACTTCTCCAGTTTCCTAGGGATGAAAAGAGCTTAAGTCTTGGGAACTTCTGAACTAGGCTTTTATTTTATTTTATTTTATTTTATTTTATTTTATTTTATTTTATTTTATTTTATTTTATTTTATTTTATTTTGGTTATTTCGAACTTTGCTTCTCTTTCTTAACTTTCTTCTTTTTTTGTTATAAATTTTCTTTTATTCAGAATCTTAATTTTCTGGAGAACAAAAACAGTGGCTTCCCAGGCAACACGTACATGATCTTAGACTTATTTTCTAAAGAACACAAGGAGGTATAAAAAGACTTATTTGTGGATCTGTTTGTTTTTTTGATTATGTTTTGCTTCTCCTGAGCAGATCAGTGTTACTACTTGCAAATGGCAGAATATTTGGTTCACTGCTGTAGAGGTTAGAAAAGTAGTGTTACTGTTACATTATTGTAAGGACTCTTTTTCCTCTTACAAATTTCAGGTTTCATAAACAGACCTCTTGGTTTATGTAGAGGGCTARATGGACTCTATCAAAGAAATTAAATTTCCACACAATTAAAAGAATGAGATTCGTTTTTCAGGTCACTGARCTCCCTACTAAAATTGTCTGATGACATTAATGTTGAAGTTCTGTATTCCTTCATTTGATAAAATCTAGCCTAGTAAAAGATATATTTGTTATATTCCCAGTAGAATGTGTGTAAATATGTATGTGCACCCATGCACACATTGTTAGTTAGAGAGAATTTGACTTTAGGAAGAGTTTGGTATGGATTGCGTTCTAGTRTAAAATTGTCTCTGCAGTTACGAGAGGTGAAAACTGCCTAGGTTATGGCACTGTTTACATGCACAAATCAGCATGCAGTTATTCTACATACCAGTTATGTAGAAATACATGCTATCCTTTTTAAATTCTGTAATGGTTTTGTATTACTATAAAATTAAGAAATAGTCGTGAGTATTAACATGAGTATGTTGTATTTGTGCTGCATTTTAATTCATGAGTATTTTCTATATCATTCTGTTGGTGTGATTTCATTTCTGGCTAATTTTTGTGGAAGCAAATTAGTAAATTGGAAAGTCTAATTTAAGAAAGATACAGAGATTCTGGGCATCTCATATTTACTGGTTATACGGGTAATTTATGTATGACTTTTAGTAAATACTTCAAGCTCTTTGGATTTATTGTTCCTCTATAAAATGGAATTAATATGTTTCTTCCTCCGTCTTGTTTCTGATTATGCAAATAGTCTACTTCATACAAAGATTTTTAAATTTCATCTGATGTTCACTAGCTATTTATATGTTTTTAATGGTATGAAAGTGGTTTTTAATAGTATGAAATAACACAACTTAAAAACAAACTAACCATAAATAGTGGGTTTTTTTCTTATTTCTTTTAGAAACTTTTGCCGAATTGAAACTTTGAATAATGATGCTTTACCTGGAAAAACTCTGTGTGTAAAGCTGCTCAAGCCCAATGCAGATTTTTACTTCAAAAGAAGACTGGAAGAGACTTCTGAAAGGTAGGGTGGCCAGCTTCCCATATAGTACTGCTAATAATAATATCTCATATTCTGTATGAATGCTATTGCCAATAATCTACAATATCTCAGATTTATTTAAATTTAATTCCTCTCTTTCTGTGTGCGTGTGTTTAGAAAGATCTAAGAAGATCTTGAAGGTTATATGTACTGTATCTTCTTTAATGTTTCTGCCTTCATCTATTAATATTGTAATACTTAAGATAGTGCCAGMAGAATCTTTCTCTCTGGCTGCCTTTGAACTAGTTTGATCATTCAAAGGATAAACAAATTATTTTTAGAGATAAAGCCTGGATATGTTGTGGGGTGTTTTTTGGTGGGGTATGTGCTGAAGTTGTTYGGTTTATTTGGTGGTTACTGCGATTGTATGATTGCTCTTTGTCTGACTTGCTCCACTAGTTTTTATGTAGTAGCTTTCTCCTGATCAGATAGTCAGCAGTAGCTCTGGTTCTATATTTTCAGTCTTATGGCTGAGAGATTCGTAGTTAATGAAGTAGCATAACATAGTTTCCGTTAGCAAACCATTCTAGTAGATACATATTTAAGAACTGCAGCTTTTTTTTTTCTTCAGATTCTTAATTATTTGTGTTGCTGAACTACATAATGAAAATCAGAACACTGATGCATTTGCTCTCTGAATGCTGCTTTTCATTAAGCTTTATGGAAATGGAATCCAATTTATGGACTTTCACATCCAGCTTTTAATGTTGACATTTTTCACTTTCCTTTTTCACGCTGTGCTTTAAGCACCCAAGAAAATTTAAACTGCCAGAGAGAGGCTCAAAGAAAGGTAGAGGAAAAGAGGGTAGTGGACCAGATTTTGCCACAGTAGGCACTCCTCAGCAGCAGCATCTCTTTCTGCTGAGAATGACAACATTGTTTCTGTATTTAGAGTCACTTTTATTGGCTTTTATTTGGAGAAAGCCAACCTGCTTAGGTAACAGAACAGTAATTCAGAGATGGAAAATGCCCACATGGTCCCCGGGTCTATACGCTGGGGTCTGGGGATAGTTGGTCTGTCTCCTATTGAGATATTAACTTTTCTGTTCTTGCTGAGGGCTCATGCCTTTGACAGTAGACAGGGTGGGTGTTTGGTGGCTTTCTTGGGTTGTGTTATTAATTCATCTCATGGCGTTGCTGTACCTGTGCCTTCGAGGAGGTGCTCACGGACCTGCGGCACTGTCTTGCTCTTCCCACTGGATTGTTTTTCTCATACATGTAAATTTTAATTATTTACTCGAACACTAGTCCCTTGGTTCTGTTGATTATTTTAAGCTTTGTTCTCTGTTGCAAAATTTTGTCTCATTGAGAAATTGAAAATAGCTAACATTTGGGAAAGAAAGAACTGTAGAGAAAAGACCTATGTTTTTGCTCTTTAATGTTCCTCTGCATCAGACTGTTTACCTCTAGCAACTGCCTCTCCAAAAGGGTAAATGAGACTCCCTCAAGTGGAGGCTGTGATTAGTTATAAGCAAATGTCAAACAATCGTATAAACTCTTGTTAGCTGATTCAACTTTTGAACCGTTTTCTAGCTTTTTGAGACTTTTTTTTTCCAGACTACTGTCATTCTCTATTGAGAATCAGGAAAATTAAAATGTCTTTAAGGTGGTTTGAAAAATGGGTGGAGGAGGGGTGGCTCTGAATATGAGTGTAATCCCACCAAGCTCTGTGCAGTTAGTACAGTTTATGGGATACATCTGCCTGCTAGTTGAACAATTCCTGAAAAGTGATTCATAAAGCAGTTCTCTTTTTTTTTTTTTTTATGTCCCTGTGGTTTGCCGTGCTATTTTGGCGCTGTGCAGGGAGGAGCCCTTTGAACACTCCTGCAGCATGAGCAGGCAGATGAATAAAATGGAGTGTGACACACAGTAATGCACATGTTTAAACTCAAATTAGCAAGCATGACTTCAGCTTTCTTAACCAGTGTTATAAAAAAAGAACAACTGTATAATCGGAGAGTTTATAAATYGTGTGCTTAGAGCATCAACATGTTTTGGGTTCGCCGAAAGCACAAAACACAGAATTAGCTTCCTGGCTCTTTTTTTTTAATGGCTTTTGCTTWTAAGTATTTAGACTTTGTCACTGCTGGCGTTTCCTATAGGTCTGTGCCAATATTTGAACAGAGCAATGAAGTATTAGCAAAGTGGGAGTGTACGTAATGATGAAAGGTGGGGGATTGATCCCACGTTTCCATGGCAGTAAAGCAATAACTCAGAGCATTGTGCTCTCTTGACAGAGTATTATGGTAACAGTGATATATTTGAACATTTGTGAAACAGCTTCCAATAGAAACTTAAAAGGAAAGAGCATTGAAATGCTATCAAAAGCAGGGAATTAGTTCTTCTAAAATATCTCTTTTCAATCCCTAACTACCACCATCCTGGCATGGAGTAACTCAGAAGCTTCCATCCAGGCTCCCAGTTCAATATGTGCTTGCAGTGATGCCAATTCTTTTTTCTTTTACTAAAAGATTGTTTTTGCAACTGTCACACAAGCAAATGGTGGTGAGTATATTCTTTCCCCTGAAAGAAAGATAATCTTTCATGTGCTTTGCTGGAGACTGATGCTAGAGGATACACCAGCATCTTCTTTCAAGTTGTTGTTGGGTTTTTTAAATGAGTATTTTTCTGCCGGACACAGCTGTTATTTCATAAGAAATGTATTTATCAAAAAGAACTTCCTTCCTTTCAGAAGGAACAACTGTGCCTCTTTGCTCAGGCTGAGGGATAGGGTGGTGGTAGAGTAAAAATCTGCAATCTTACTTCCTTCATGTCCCGCCTAACTATGGGACTCTGTTTATTCTCCAGACTGTTAGGTAGAAACACCCATCGGAGTATTTCACATACACTCTAGAGCTAATGCTTCCTTCTGTCTCAGAGATCCTTTTCTTGTCAAGATGCACTCCGGGGAAATTTGGACTAAGAATCTTAAGTGTTATGTGCGGTTCATATATACAGAGCAACCAGATTGCTTAAATTCAGCCATGGATCAGAAAGCAACAAGAGAACCTGAAAAAGTCCRGTGTATCTTCCTGGCTTCCGGCCAGCACACCAGTCCTAACGTTTAAGAGCAAAACTTCCAAGATTTTTCCCRTAGGTTCACTTTATGTGATCTGTTGTGCCTGCACTGTCAGGATATCTCAAAAGAGGTAACAGGACTTAAAATTTTGTCAATGTAATTCCCATTGCACTAGCACTGAAAGTCTTTTGATGCTAATCCAGCTAAATAACTAAGACACTTGGRTGGCATGCTAAGATATACTCAATTTTACTAAGATGTGGTGGGCCACCCGCTAGAACTTAAAATGAGGACTAATTAACTGACTATTAAATGCAAATAGGAATTTAACAAAAACACTTAACTACATAAATGTGTACGTAGGCATGTAGTAGGATTCAGAAACACAGCTTTAAATCTTGCCCACATTATCTAAAATTTTCTCCGAAACTTTGGAAATTCTTTTCTGAAGCTAAATATCTCTTGAGGTAAAAATCAGGACTTCTCCAGCAACACAGAGCAACACAAGTTGCACTGAGGATAGAAAGTAAAATGCARTATTGGAAAGTGGGATGGGTGCAAGTAGGTGGGGAGTTACTAATCTAAACTGTGTTGGGCCAGTGATAGCAACAGCTGGTGGCTGTTGCTTTTGCCTTGCAAAATAGAGCACTTTCAGTGTGCCTTTGCCCTCTGGTAATGTGATAATGTTGATTTGGTTAGGAAGAGAATARTTTTCTGCTCTTCTTATTCATCTCCCTATCTGAATGATAAAGTGATAGTGTTGGAAGACTGGGAGTAGGAGAGTTAGAGGGCTGCAAACCATGCCTGGAAGTGCTTCTGGCTTTGCAAATAATGAGGTACTCCTTCGTATATGAAAATTAGTTCAGGAATACAAAAAAAATATGGAATCCATTAGGCATTTAAATACTGCCTTTTCAGTTTGATAGCATCTTTCCATCCTCTGCTGTGTCCAATAGGCTTGAAATGGTGTTTTGTTGAGTGTGCTGACACAGGAAGACAGCTTTTCTCTTTGTCGCTTATTTGGCTACATACAAGACACAAGTGAGGCAGGCACAATCCTTCTGCAAATATATGAAAATATAAAAACATATGTACCTTACCATATACTGTGCTATTGATGGAGAGGGCTAGGAAGAAGCAGCACCATCTACCGACTGAAGCGCATCACTGCCAACCCAAAGGAGCCATTGGGAGAGTTACAGCACAGTCGGCGCACTAGCCATGTGACTAATTCTGAGACCTCTCTGGGTTTTTAACTATCTAACTGACAGGAATAGCTTTGCTTAGGCTGTTTCTTTATTTATTTGAACGTGCTCTCTTGGTCTGATGCGTATTTAGAAGCTGATCTTGCCAATTCAGTTGACCATGAGGACTTTTAAATAGCTACTTTTTTAATGTTGCGTATAACTTCTGTGTCAGCAATATTCTTTGAATGACAGGAAAGCACTACAGTATTTTTAGAAATCAATGAGGTGCTAGCTAGGATGACAGGCAGAAACATGAAGTCTCAGATCCTCAGAGGTGCTGAGGCAGTTCTTGAGTGTTTCCAAGCTGATTTCCCATTGAAAATAGTGGGAATAAGGTACCTTTGGGGAACTGGATTGTTTGGGGAAAATCTCATTGGCTTTAGCGGAAGGTTGAGACAATAAAGAGGATAGATTTGGCAAAGTGCTTCTGCAAATGCCGTCCCTTGCAATCCAGGCTTGTTCAAGTAGCGGTAAAATTGTTATATCAAAATAGTGAAAGCATGAGAACTAAGGCAACAGCTTATTTACACAACAAAAACTGGAGGCTAATCTTCTGCAAAGTTTGTTAAAGCTCCCAAAGCTTTCAGAAAAGCCTCGGCTGCAACTTGGGAAACATCTGAATCTGTTTAGCACTTTAGGTGGAAACCATAAGGAGCAAAGAAACCATGGAAAATGTTTGGATTTCAACTTCCAGCATTTGATTTTGCAAATAGCTA